TCCTAGCCAGATCACTTGCTCTGTCCACTCCTAGCCAGATCACTTGCAGCAAAATAACAGCCTATTTGGTGAAGGCCATGAAGGGGGGAGCACCCTATCCCAAGCTAACAGCGAACCCCGAAGGCAAAACCAGCAGAGCATGGAAAGCTCTTGTCGTTTCGCCAGAGAAAACATGTGGCCTGGGGCGGTGGCTCAGTGGTTAAGGGTGCTTTCTGCTGCTACAGAAGACCAGAGTTCTGAGCTGGGTCCCTAGCACCCACATGGGCCGGCTCACAGCTTTCTGTCACTCTAGCTCCAGGGAATCCAATGCCGTCTTCTGACCTCTGCAGGTACCTGGACACATGTATAACACACACACACACACACACACACACACACCACACACACACATACACACAGAAAAAAAATCTTAAAAAGAGAACACGATTCTGGAATCAATATTAAAGGGATTTACAAATTCTCAGTGTGGAACAAATTGTACTTCTTTTTGTTAAATATTGAAAAAAATTGACCATCATTCTATAAATATTCCTTAGTGGCTAATGATATGACCATCACTCTTAAAGGGATACCAATATAAAAACCACAAAGACCATATTACCAGCAGTCTGACTTACACTCACTTACACCTTAGTGATGGAGCTAAAGCTAGCCTGTCAGGTGACGGTCACATGCAAAAGCCTCACACCGCTTGCGGACCAGACCATAACTTCATAACATACAAGAATAAATACGTGCATTTTTTGAACAACAACAAAAATGTTGTCTTTTCTTACATGTCCTCAGGAGCAGTCAAGGGCAGTCTGCTGTGGGGTAAACAGCCCCACACCCTTGCACAGCTCTGGGTCACCGGGAGGACACAGTGATGTGCAATACTGTCCATTTCATGAGGTTGGGACCAATGAAACACATTGTATCTGCTTCCCTACTCCCCCAGGCCCCGTGTCTGTCTGTCCTTCCCCCACCACCCATTTTGTTTTATTTTGAGACAGCGTCTCTCTATGTAGCCCAGCTTGACCTGGAACTTGCTATGTAGACCAGGATAGCCTCAAACTCACAGAAATTCACCTGTCTCTACCTCTCCAGGGCTTGGATTAAAGGTGCACGCTACCACACTCAGTCATTTTATACACATGTATACCACTATAAATCAAACTTTCAGCTCTCAGGAGGACTTTATTTATGAACAACCAACTGACCAACATTACTAAACAGAAGTATCAGTACACTATTTTTAAAGATTTTTTTTTAACTTCATGTATATGAGTATTTTGTCTGCATGTCCGTCTGTGCACCATGTGCCTACAGTACCCACAGAGGCCAGAAGAGGGTGTCAGTTCCTCCTGGAACTGGAGTTAGAAATGGGTGCAAGCCACAGCAGGGGTGTTGGGAACTGAACCCAGGTCCTCTGCAAGAGCAGCCAGTGTTCAGAACCACACAGACATCTCTCCAGTCCCGCTGTACTGTTTTTGAATTTCGGGGGCAGGGGAGAATGGTAGTTTTTAAACTACATGGCTGCCTAATGGAAGGAACAATGATCTAAGGCCGTCTCCAACCACCATCAGGACCCTGCCTGCAGCCACTAATTCTAGAGTCCTCCAATGGAAAGTTGTAATCAGTTTCTCCACTCTTGCCAGCTGCATCCTCTGCTCACTGTGCAGAGCAAACAGCCAGCATCTGGGATGGGCTCCTTACAAGTCTGCAGACCTGAGGCCTAGCACACTCAAGCCTTGGCTTTGGAGAGGGCCTCACTGCCTCTGGATTCACACTAACGCCTTGCTCCACGTCAGCCTCCACCCATCTCTGTTTATGTTGGAGCCCAACATGTCCTTGCTATTCTCTCAATTCCAGACTTGTGTTCTGATCAACTCAGCCCGGGCTGCCAACTCTACCCCAGTCCTAACTGCGACCCTTTCAAGTATCCTAAGACTATAAAATGAAGTCCCGGTTAGGAAATCATGACTAGACATTTGAGTATCACAGAAAACCCAGACATAGCCAGCAGAGCTATTAGATGCTAATGGCTCTTTCCCCTTTCTATTATGCTACATGGCTCCTCAGTTCTATTCTCTGAACAACCCCATGATGGAGAGAAATCATATGTCACTGAGGAACAAAGTCTTATTTTTATTTCTTTATAGGTTTTCCTAATTCAAAGTATGAATGGAAAAACATATTACTTTTTTTTATAAATGCTATTACTAGGACAATCTCCTGACATCAAGGAGAAAGGACATCCCTTCCTGACACATGTACAGCCATTAGAAATGTCCCCACCCCCAGCATCAGCAACTCAATAACGACACAACAACTCTATCGATTTTCTCTCTCAGCTGCTCCTCAAAAGCAGGGACATTTTTAGTTGACTTGCGGACACTTCATGGGAATTCCTTTAATGACTCCCATCTTAGAAGGGATGCCATGCTCCAACCTATAAATATCGCCTGGCAGCCTAGCACAGAATTAGGTTAAACCTTGTAAGAGATCTTACAAAGGTGCCACTCCCAGAGCCAGTGAGGGGCACCAGTCTCAAGAACTGAAGCTGGCAGAAGTGCAGGAGCTGCCTTGTGAATGGTTGAGCTGCCACTGACTATTTCCCCGCCTGTTCCTGTGCTTGGGGACGCTGGGCACCCCAGACACTGGCAGGGAACGTCCATCTCCCATCTGCTGATTTCGTAACGCTACCTATGAGCAGTGCCATGCTGACAACACCCTTCCATAGCATGGGAGCGCCCAAGGCCTGTGAGCGTCCTCAGTTCCGGTGCTTTCCCCGCCAGCCCAGTGTAGCCGCCCACCCACAAAGACCGGCTTCTCCACAGCTGCTTCCTCTTAGCTGCTCAATGTCATGAGGGCACCGGGAGACAATACTGTTCTGTACACATTTCTAAACATTTGAGAGAACGTTTCCCTTTCTTCACAGACACAGTTGACTAGAGATGTCAGCATGAAGCTCTTAAAAACCCAAAGTGAGGCAAAGCTGAGACGGTCACCAGGAAAGAGTCCCTCATCCTGAGTAAGAGTAGCCAAGACAGGGGCTGGAAGCTTCTATAGCAGACAGGGAGTCATGAGCCGGTCACTAAGGCTGAATAGATATGCAAGCCAGAACCTTCATCAAGACCTGTGCTGAGTGCCTCCAGGCAATGAATTTTTATTGTAGGCAGATTATCACTGTGGCTTAATTAGAGTATCATGGGATCAGACTGTGAACTTGAAATAGGTAGTTGAGAGTGCCCTGAATAACATGTCATAGAATCCTAACTACACGGGCTATCATAGTGGCAGCCTGAGACAATCTCTGAGGCGAGGTGACAGAATACTGGCGACTCAGTCCTGCCGGGGACCGGTCCCTCACAATGTCTGACATCATCATTTCTTACATGTGTCCAAGGAGAGTCTAATACGGTGTCGAAACTGGGACTGCGGAGCTGAATATGAACTGGGTTTCAAAATCCCTGCACTCGGATACTAGCTGTGAGCTAGGGACGCTGATCAGGAAGAGAGCTCACGTTCTGACGCTGACTTCCAATGGCCCTGGGACCTTAAACAAAGTCACTATTTGCTTTAAAAAAAGTCACTATTTAAGCAAGTCTATTTTCTTAAATAAGTGATGTGCCTTCCTCAAAGGAAAACAAAACATTTATTTAAAACCCGACTTTGACTTTTTTGATATGAGGCTATGCTTACAGAATGCCACACACACAGTTAAGAACTACAGTACTGCCAGCGAGGAGGGCCATGCTAGCGAGACCTCTTCCATGGGATACAGGCTCTTAGGGGCTCCTACTGTCCTCACTCACATGTCTACCCCACCACTCCTGGCTTAGAACACCCACCCACAGAGAACCCTTGCACCCAGCCGCTGCTTTCCATCCATTTACTGATCCATGAAGTCAGTTATCGAGCTCACCAACTGTCTTAGTTTAAATCTAGACTTAAAGCGTGCCCGTTTCTAAACGTTTGAGAGAGCGGTCCTCTTTCTTCGTGTTGCGTGGCAGACACAGTTGCCTAGAGATGTCAGCATGCCACTCTTAAAAAGCCAAAGTGAAGCAAAAGCTGAAAAATGGTCACCAGGGAAGATTCCTCATACCAGGTAGGAGGAGCAAAGACAGAGCCTAGAAGATTCCATACCAAACAGGGAGTCACGGGTAGGTCACTAAGTCTGAACAAGTATGCAGGTCGGGACCTTCACCAGACCTGTGCTGAGTTCCTCCAGGCATCGCCAGAGACGAAGCGCATCAGGACGGACCTGCGCACTTTCTGGACTCCTCCCTGTTAGGCAGGCTCCCATGGCAGGACATTCTGTGTGAGTGTGTGACTACATTCATGAGGACACTCTTTGAGCCTTGTGTCTGGCAACATAAAAAAAAAATGATAATTTCCAAAGCACGTGGATGCTAAATCCAGGCAATCTGGGTTTAAGGCTATTCACAGCTCTTTTTAACCTGCAGCTGTCTGCGCATGACATACCCAATGGCTTCCTTAGTTACCTATAAAAACAAATCTAACACGCATTTGAATTTTTAAAACTCTGTGTCGCTAAGATGGTCATTTCCTTTAAGCTAACCAATGAACACCAAATAAAGCAACTACCTTTTGTTTTCTTGGTAAAAGTCGATCAACCGATTCTAAAATTAATATGGGCATAGAAATGATTGAGAGCAACCAAAATAATTCTGAAAAGTGTAAGATGGGGGAGTTTGCTCTGAGCCCTGAACTCCTAACACTTCTCCATAGGGGGCCCCACCTTGCATGCAGTCACCTGTTTGGGAACCAGAAGCCCGGCTTGCTAGGCATTTACAGTGCTTGCACACAGAGCTTCATAAGAGCAAGCAAAGGTAGGTGATAGTTGTGCACGCCTTTAATCGCGGCACTCTGGGGGCAGAGGCAGGCAGATCTCAGTGAGTTCAAGACCAGCCTGGTCTACAGAGTAAATTCCAGAACAGCCTAGGCTATGCAGAGAGACCCTGTCTTGAAAAAATGAAGCAAAGAGTAAGCAGGGTTTCCATTGAAATCCTGGAAGTCAGCCTTCCTCTGCCTGCAGTTCAGGGTCCCCTCCCATGAGAATCGTCTCTTGGGGGTTCCGGTATGCTGCATGGATATCTCCTACACTGATCCATCGAATCTTTAAGAGAGAAAAGATCCAGATTCTTCACTTTTAACCACCTTCCCTTTCTGGCTAACTGGAATGTGCTCTAAAATTAAAAAAAAAATAAATAAATCTTCAGAAGTAACAAAATTTTGAGAATAATTAAGAAGGAAGCCTTACCTTCTCTGGTGGGTGGTTAGCTATGAGGGTTGTAGCCCTTTTGCTAAATATGTTTGTTGAATAAATATTTGTATACTCTTTCGCGGGTTCTTCACCATCTCGGAAATCAAGAGCACACCGCGTAACATTCAAAGGCTCAATTAGTGCGCAGACCTCGTGGGTGTAATAGTTTTCACTGCCTAGGAGATAGCCTACGAGAAGAATGGGAGACGAAACAGTCAGCATGGCAGAAAGCTTGTTAAGCAAACGAATGTTCCAGCATTTAATTGCCTAATGCAACTGATTGCCCGTGACGAGGCTAATCAAATGACAAGGCTAATCAGAGCTACATTTCTTAACATCTCTATATCTCTTTGTAGACACCGTTGAAATGTGGCTGCACAGAAGCCAAGTCCTCTTCTCACTCGGGTCGTTCAGGGCATCGGTTCCATCACGTCGGCTCTTTGTAAGTGGATGATTCTGTGGAAACAGGTTCTTAGAATTCAGAGTTCAAGTTCAGTAGGCAATAAGATGTTAATCCTTTAAGGCTAAGAGAAAAGATCATACACTGGTAGTGTGATTTGATACAAGGTTTCATTTGTAAGATAATAAAAACGGGATTCAGCTCACGTCCTTTGTGTCACTGCTGTTGGGAGACTGACGACGTCGGCGGTTATTTATGAACGAGGCCTCAGCGAGAGTTATATTTAGTCAAATGCTGACACCCACTGGTGGAAAGATACAAACCTTCCCCAACACAAGCTCTCTCTGCTCCAGCTCCGGGTCAGAGGAGAGCGGTCTAGCTAGACTGACCACACACAGTTTGGAGTCACGCTGCTGCTCACTGAGCTGAGTGGCCGTCACCCTCACCTTCTGTAAAGAGCCCTCTCCCACAACAGAGACGGAAGCCAGGAGAAAAGGAAGTTTCCCAATAGCTGTTCTGTGAATGTTACCTGTTTTGCTAAAGTATAAAAGCAAGCTGTGCTGTGTATTAGAATTCAATCCACAGACTTGCTCAGAAGTCAGTCAACACAAAGGAGAGGCAGTTAGTGCTGGCCCAGAGCTGGGGTTCGAGGGGAAGCTGGGGCGGCTGCTCAGGAGGTTTGGTTTCTTTTGTGAGTGATTAAAGATTGTCCTGTGTCTGGGTTGTGATGATAATGACACAAGCCCTCAACTTGCATAAAAATTACTAAATTAAATACTTTGATTGGGTGAGCTGTACAGTATATGAATTATACCCCCAGCGAAGCTATTAAAAAGAAATAAACTTTCCTGGGCTCTTAAATATATTCCTTTTTGTTCTTAAAATGATGAAAAATGGGCCTAGCTCTTTTCCTTCTCATGGAATTTTCTCTATAAAGATAATCAAGAGCCTTCTACAGCTTATATAACAATTTATAATTAACTTATATAGTAATTCACTTTAGATTAACCATTTTCCATTATTCCAGGTCAAGGTCCCAAACATAATTAGTATATGGATCTTAAGACAACTTCTTATATGATTTTCACTTTTTTTCATTTATAACAGAAAAAAATCTAACATATTTATTATTTAATGTGAAATAGAAAAATACGTATTCACAAAAAAAAAAAATTTCAGGGATGCTGAGATGGCTCAGTGGGGAAAGGTGCCTGCCACGTGTCAAACCTGACAACCTGAGTTAGATCCACACAGTGGAAGGAGAGAACTGATTCCTGCAAGCTGTCCTCAGACCTCCACATGTGTGCTGGCATGCATGCGTGCACACACATACACATGAATGAATGAATGAATGAATGAGTAAGTAAGTAAATAAATAAATAAAATGAAGAATAAGAATTTCAACCCTTACCTTGGCAATCAGACTGATTGGGACCTAGTTTGTGTTTTAACATTGATGATGTATTAGAGTTTGGAGAGAAAACTTCAGGTTCTCTATCCATTAATATAAACTGTCACTGGGGAGGGCATGTGCACAGGCTATATTTGGTTATAGGAGCCATAAATATTGAATGAGGTTACGAACAGGAGGGTTGCAGAAACAGAGCTACATCCTCAAACACTTGGCCAAGCTGACCCCGCACAGTTAGTGACAGTCACACAATGCTGTCATCATTGTAATCCACAAACTTGAGTCTAAGGACGATGGCCGCCTAGGCTTTTGTGAGGAACTTTAGAAAACACTTTTGAACAACTAAATCTGTGTCCTTCGATGGTTTTATCGAGATGCAGTTCACGTCGACACAGTTAACCATCAAGTGTGTACTTCCTTGGCTTCGAAGGCACTCACAAGCACCTACCCGCTTCCAGCAGGACTGCTAAACTACAAGGCTAATGACGGCCTTGCGCTCCAAACACTCTTCTTGGCTGCAACTCTGTCTTCACATGAATGTGGATATTGGTCTACCTAGCTCTGGGGTAGACCTCAATTCTCATAAAGCCTATGATTTCTGCCTTCTATGTGAAGGTTTCCGTTTGTGTCTGTGTGAGAGTGTGTCCATAGGCTAAAGGGCAATACTTACCACTGCCAGGAGCTAGCCCCCTTTGCGGTTTAAGACAGGTTCTTTTACTGGCTTGACAATTAGGCTAGGCCACTTGGCCAGTGTGCCCCAGGGATTCACCCATCTTCGCAGCTGGTGTGCTAGGACTAGAACCCGCCAGGCACCAGTTTGTTTGTTTGTTTGTTTGTTTGACTTTGGCCTAGGGACTGAACTCAGGTTCATGGATGCATTTTACAGACTGAACTCTCTCCCTAGCTGTCCAATCAAAAAATGGATTTTTCATAAAGATTTTTAAGATCCACAGTCTGTCAAAGGACAGACATGAACACACCCTCTAGCAGAGTCCTGCATGAAAACAAAAGCCCCCGAGGTGCACAGTCTTTCCTCTGGAACGTTCAGGATGCTAAATCAAAGAAGGCTGAGTTTTAACAGTCATTCAAGGGCGCTGAAGACTCAACCAGAAAGAATGTCATGACTGGCTAGCGGTGCTGCGGCACCCGGGTGGGAGAGGGACACACCTGCTCTCCTGTCTGACATGCTGGTATCTTGACCTCAGGGTTAGATCCAAGTGCTTGGCTGCTTCCAAGCGTATGTGAACCCACTACCTTTCACTGAGCTCTGCTTTGTCCTTAACCTCACGAGGAAGCAAGTAATGACCAAGGAGCTACAAGAAAGCCACCACTCTGTGACTAGAGTGGCTCTCCACTCTACCTCCTTCCCAAGAAGCTTTTGTCACAGCTAAGGGTCGGGAGCAGCTTCACTTCCTCAACACCTACTGTCCACTTAGCTTGGAATAATGTCCTTGTAACCCTCTTCTCTCCTCCCTACCGACATAAGAAGTCTCCTATCTTAGACTTGGATGTGGAGTGCTCCCGGAGCCATGCAGCTTTTTGCTTCTTATTTATTTTATTTATTTTGCAGTTTGGTGCGTTTACATTATTCCACGTCTGACTAGTCACTCCAATTTTGTTAGTCTACTTAAATGTCTATGTTAACTATGTGTCCGTTTGGAAGAAGCAGGTGGGAGGGAGGGAAGGAAGTTACTGAACAGACAACAGAAAGACAGCTCAATATAAAAAGAACTTGACAGAAAGACACACAGTCAGCGGCAAACAGGTCAGTAATTACGGCAGAGCTTATAACAGACGTACGCTGTCACACTTTAAAACAAGCGCAGGCTTCACGTTTCTTTCGGAGGGCTCTCCCATTTCTAGTTATCACGTCATTATCTCCCACTACCGTTGATTATCTTTTATTGCTATTAATTTTTAAATCAATTTTCTCCAATCTAGTAATTTCAGAAGCAGATCTCACAGGTAGGAGAAGATGTCATCGTTCTCCCCCCACCCCCAAGGAGAGGGGCCTTTGAATCCAGGCCACCCCCAAGAAGAGGGGCCTTTGAACCCAGGTCACCCCCAAGAAGAGGGGCCTTTGAACCCAGGCCACCCCCAAGAAGA